AACAACCAATGTAACTGTCGTCCTTCATCTATTTATCTGTCACATTTTTTACGTTATATTTACATTTATAAATTTAATTTTAGAAAAATGTTTCAAGAAATTACTGCACCACATGAACCGAAATCACTTTATAGTATTTTATATAAAACAATTATTGATTTATGATTCTCTTTATTGTTAATTATATTTATTCGAAGATAAACATAGATATTAAATAAATTGATATGTCCTAAGATTCTTTTACCATATTATTTTAAATTTAGGTTATTGAATGATTGTGGGTTTTATTCTTTTTTTTTGCCTACAAATTATTTTACTTATTTTTTATTTATTCAGTTGATCGATAATAAATCGATAAATAAGTCGAACTATTTATTAGCACCGATTTGCTACTTTTTGCTTAAACAATTATATATTTTAAAAAAGTACACAAATCAATCATTAAATTCTGTATAAATTCACAATCTTAGTTAAAACATAAATATATATTCAGACGTTGCACCCCTCTTCCAGTTGATTTTCATCAAAGATACAGTCTTTAAATAAATGTTGGTCGTCGGAGGGTACTTTTGCTGTCCTACAAGAACTGAATTAAGTATGTACTACAAAGTATATCTGAACTTTAAATAAATCTATTTAATTATGGCAAAATGTAGTTTATAAGAATTTCATGTTTCCGTATCAAGGACTTATTCATCGATAACAATGTTTTCTTGAAAATGGAATGGAAATGTGAAAATAACGATATTTCGATATGGAAAAAATTGTATTCCACTCTACGAATGCTCTTAAAGTCTATTATTAAAAATTTATTTTATAATTTAACGAGATATAAAATGACTTTTAATTTTATGCATAATTAATTTTATCGGAACATTTTCAAATAAATTAAAAACCAAAAAATCAATTAATTTCCACGGTCTCCCTTAATCATTGTCTTAAACTAAAAGAATTATCCTTGCTTATAATTAGCATATCATTTTTTTCAATATTGTCAGGGGTACAGCCTCGTGAGAGACACTCGACCCCGTTTTCCAGTTTTTATTCGCGCCCGTAATGTAATCATGACTTAAAAAATGTTCGTCGGGTTTTTGAGCTGCCCATGCAAGTGTATCTTCACCTCCCTGAGGAGAATTAAGAGAGAACAGTTAGGCGAAATATCTCCAAAACAGATTCGGAGTGGTTAGTATACTCAATTCAAGTCCAGACTGTCGACACATAAACGCACGATTCAATTTCGTACAGTAGTCGCGAACGCACACACGATCTTTCTCTTCTTTTTAATTCACGATTTTTAAAGTATCACATGAAAAAATTTTACACAAATTAAAATAATAAGTGAATATCTATTGTAAGACTATAAATGGAGTATTACACGCTCAGTGCAAGCTGATTTCCACATTTTCCCTGAGGATGCTTTAAGCTCTAGACTTAAAGCAACGAGGCGATTATCTCTCACAGTTCCGTCTTCTTTTTCTTATTTTTTTCGTCGACAGGCTGTTAAGCAAGTTCAAGGGAGCTTCCAAAGTAAGTCTAAAAATTTATATCATGCTACTACTAACGATAAGAAAACAACAAATATCTAACTTTACAGTTTTATTTTCGAGAGTTAGAAAAGAGAGAATGTTTGACAATAGTTGCGACAAAATGTTTGATAATAGTTGCGACAGTGAATAAACAATAATTCATCAATTAAGAGGTCATAATATCTTAATCTACACTTTTATACGTCATATGCTTTTTCTTTTCCAAATGAATAATTTTTTTTTCAGAGATGAAAAGAAATGGTTGAGAATCTAATACTTTTAACAATGTAAAACATAGAGAATAACATATTTGCTTCAAATATGTTATTCTCTATTCAAATTAATGAATTTCACTGGATCGATGATGCAATCGAAAAAGAAAAGTGTAAAAGAGGTGATATTCTAAATTTAAAATATTATCGCGTAATCTCGGAACTAACACGAGTATGTGAGATCGTAATAGACATTGTAGCTCGAATTATTTATTTTACTATTTGAACGGTAAAAGATGGAATAAAATAAATCTCAACCTGCAAATATCCCAAATCTACTCTGAATTAAATAAGAACTTTTTAATTTTTCATAAGTACTGCCAATCAAAGATGAGTTTCAGAACATTACGTTACCTACACTACTATACCTTTTACGTTGCCATATATTTCTTTGAATAATGATGGAATAACTTTGCATTCATCAAATTTAGATTATTTGTCTTTCGCATTTCTATATTCAAATAATTCAAAATCTTACTGAATATTTCATATTGATTATTTATACACACATATATATACATGTTAGGGGGCATGCCCTCTGGGCGCTTTACATCCTAGATGTCATTATCAAATATATATTATAGATTTTTCTATTTTATTTATTATTGATGGAACGTTTTTTGCGTAGAACTTTGTCATATACTGCCAGCAATAGCATATTTCGCCTAGGAATCAGAGAATTTTGGGTTATTGGGTTATGACCTGGAGGCACAGTAATTCAACAACCCAAAATTTGGCTAGAAACGGAGATTATCGATAATAGAAGTATCTTGTCAGCAGCAACAAGTCTCCAACTACAAATTCTGTTGGCGTGACAATGCAACATCCATAGCGACATCCATAGTTTGAAATAGACTTTTAAGATTGCCATACCTCGATTAGATTGATTGCTAAAATATATGGTGATACATCTACATCTCACTCAGGTCTTCTTGGAAGATCACTTTTTAAGTATATTATGCAGTATATTATAACAAAGATAGTTATCCACAAATAAGCAATTAAGTCTCCTTTCTATGCTTTCGCAGTATATAAATATAATAAAATCGGTCGATCACGATCTATATCTTGATCAGATTGACGGCTATTAATATTTACATTTAATTTAAGCTCTTCCTGGAAAAATATTTTCAAGAAAATTGCGGTAAAACGTCTGCTCATCGTTTATATTTATTTATATAAGGCTTCAAATTGTAAAAATAAAAAAAAAATTTACATGTCGAATTTACAGTTTACTCTATATAAAAGGTTCTTGTGCATTATTTTCAATTATTAATCTGTGACCCAACAGAAATTCCAATTAAACGGATATGTTTTTATGAATCATATTGTCTTAACCAAGATACATAATCTCATTATAGTAGCGTCAAACGAGACTGTATTTTCTTTGCAAAATGTAGGTTGTTTAACGGCACGTGTATCGGAGCGGAAAATCGAAAGATAAAGAAAGACAGCAAACGCACACGCAAGCTGTGACGAACGTATGCATAAATCAACTATTTTTCATTCACCATCTCAGCTAAACACTATCCAATTACATAATTATTAATGCCTGTGCATCAGTTCAGCGACAGTATTTGAAAGCACAAAACAACTGTTCGCTTAAGTGAGTAAACATAAAGTAATTTTTTCGGATTTTGTAAGTCATAGTACATTTTCGTAGAGCAGTATTTATTTACCGTATTTAGTACCGTTTATATAAAAAATAACTATCTAACAAAAAGGAATACATACGATCTGAGTATCAGTGATGTCGAAAAAATATTTCCAGTTTCAGTAAAAAAAAGCTGTATCGGAAATATATCGAATTGACCTAATTAGTAAGCTGAACTCTTAAACGGTAAAAAAAATTATACACGAACTAAGCACACCCATTCAGTAATTTGTTTGAAAAAAGAAATGAACGAGGAAGCACGACAACGTGTTCAATGTGAGCTAAATACAAATGTACTTAAAAAATTGTCTATATAAGTAATAAACTAACTGGTTTCGCAGGTATTCTTCAGGAAATGCACTCGGATGACACTGAAAAAGAGGGAGCACAAAAGCTTAGCCACCCATTCGGCGCATACAAACACACTGGTAAGCCCTTCGATTTATCTTCGTTTTCGCGTGGATTATCTGCGACAGCGACTCGGTTGAGTAATAGCACATCAAGACTCAGACATCATAACGATGAAATTGTTGGTCTTACGTGTGAAAAGCACAAGAAGCCGTGTACATTTTTATTACACCTATAATGCAAAATGTGTGCATAAATTTAAAATCTAACCTATTCTCAAATTTCTCAATGTAATCGTGTTAATTCGACAAATGTGTGAACTTTTTATAGCACGAGATTCTTATATGCGATGTATTTTATGCGAACCGGCATGCATAATGTTGTAAATTGTATTTCCAATATATGATTTTACCGAAGCTTATTTTGTGCGGCGCTATATTGAACGAAATAACGTAGTATCTCGATGATAATTGTAAAATTGAAATATGTTTTGTTAATCAATTGCTTGAAATGAAAATGTGCAGAGTTGGAATTAGTCATTGAAAATGACAGCTTCCTAAATTTGACTGGTAACGTGCGTAATAGTATGTGCACGTGTGAAATGAGAAAAATTCAAAACCTGAAGAGGAGGAAGGGTAATTCAAGTTGGCAATCAGCTCATTCGGCGCGGCGGAACTTGCATCGAGTGGCTGTCGTCACCGGAAGCATATATATATATATATATATATATATATATATATATATATATGACGTCGAAGCGAGTGATAATCGATTTTCCCACATCAAGTTTCACGAGTTCTGATTTGCCACGGGTTTCACCCAAGATCAAGTGCTCATCCACGGTAATACTCGCTTTGCGCTTGTTACCCGATCTTTCATGTTTCAATTACTCTCTTGCTCTCGTATTGCTTCTTTCATGTTTATCGAATATGCTTTCATCTTTATAAACATGTACCTAGTCAACTTGAAATTAGCGTCTGCGAACACTAAGGACAATATCTCGTATTTTTATGGAAGCAGAGCTTATAATGTATATACAATCATGTACTTCAGAGAAAAATTCAATATGCAAGGCAATAGAAAAACAAGATACTAAAAATACAATAGAGGTTTTTTTTTATTCATTTCCGATATGCGCATATGAACGATAGAGTAGACACACACGGTCTCGGTATTCCAATGAATTTAAAATTGGCTTACGTCAGAGGCCGCTACAGTCAGGCAGTCAGTTGTCGCTTGATAACGGCTATCACTTCCGCTAGAGCCCATATATGGTGGAATTCCACCTGAACTCGTGATCTGCAAAAAGCAAAGTTCGCACTCAATGTTGTATTTGTTTGACATCACGCTGAAATATTTCACGGTTTGAAGGAATATTCAATTTCCAGGAACAGTGTAATAATTAATCGACAGGAGGGTACATCTAGAATTTGAATCTAAATCGAAAGAAGGTTTACTGACTTTTTCACAGATATTACAGCATTAAAAACTCAGAGTAGTAAATTTTATCGAAGATAAGCTTGAGCATTTTTGAAATAGACATTTAACGCTGCCAAGCAACGATAAAAACTTGATAGTCGATGTTAATATATATCGACCAAAAAATATTGACAACTTTTTTACATAATTGTTTTATTAATCTTGTAATGTAAAACAAGATTGAACTGACTCGAATAATTAACCACGCTATATTAACCATGCTTTTTTTTTGAACAAATCGTTCCATTCAACTCCTTCAATTCTTCATTTTTTACAAATTAATTCGTTGTTTAGCTAGCGGAAACAAGCCACTCACTTATTTTCCTCAATACCCGCCTTTTATTGATTCTAGTAAATCATTGACCTGGATAAGGGCAATTCTCACGATCGTTGGCAAAGATGATTGCGTCGGATTTCATGAGAATTGAACGGACATATCACATAATATTTATAAATTCGCAGAAATTGCAATATATACTCGACTCATAAGTCTGAACTAAAGTTGAATATCTATAAATTTTCGAAGTGGATGAAAGTGCATACTCAAGTTTTGTACAAGTCATTGACAAATTGTGATGAATAAAATTGTTAGCATCGAAATATTGTGAAAGTAGCAGAGCAGTGCTTATGCAGATGCGTTGGCGATGCAATCGCCGACAGAGCCACGAGACAGAATAAGAAGAGAAAAGGAAATGAAAACGAGCGTCTGATTGCGTGTGATAGGAGATAGGTCGAAATAGACATGCAGCATTAAAAAGTAGTTTGAGCTTTGCGAAGGCCAGGTTGGCGCGGGCTCAGAGTGAGATAAAGTTATCAGTAGTGTAAACTGGGAAGCCGCGGCAGTGGTTGTTTAGACAAAAGTCCGAATGCAGCAGTGCGCGACCGCAAAGCTATGGCCTTGAAGCTTTTGCTTAGTTGCGGAATGCGAAATATGCGAGGCATATGCGAAACTATGTGAGTACCACTCTATCCCGTGCTCTCTCTCTCTCCCTCTCTCTCTCTCTCTCTCTCTTTCTCTCTCTCTCTCTCTCTCTCTCTCTCTATTCGCAAGCCCCTGAATATTCAATGTACGGGAAGAGAAACATTAGAACAAATTGGAATGCGTCGCACGAACGAATATCATTTTCTTCCCTTTTTTCGTATGGCGTAAATTTGCTGCGGCCGACTGCGCAGCTAACAGACTGTAGATAGGAAACCATTGGAAAACTCTGAATTACTCGGCGATTAGCGCGTTAGAAAACTATCGGGAGTCTGGTGGGTCGAGAAGCGATGGCGAAAAATATCGCGTTGTACGAGGCGTTAAGCCGAAAATTTGTTCCACTCGGCTGTTTGGCATTACGAGAGCTCAGAGCGGCGGAAACGAGATTGGCCAAGATCATGTATTTTCCATATGAGCGGCAGCAAAGCTTCAGGGACTTGAATCTTATTGGAATTCGAAGTCGCGGGGATCATGCGATTTATATCAGCATGTTTGGCTGCAACCGTCTGACTTACACCTCACTCTCGCCTCTTCTTCCTTCCCACATCCTTCTTCTTTCTCATCTCGCGTAAGCCCGCTTGCATTCGCTCTCTCGGATCAGCAATATCACTGTTACACTTACTCCAGCTACACGCTGCTTTTCTTCCCCTCTTTCTTATATTGAATCTCGACGCGCTCGCGCTTCGAACATGATGGAATATTTTACGCCGCGACATTCACCTTCTATCTCAACATTTATGCTCTCTTATTTATTTTTTTATTTATTACGTTGCCTACTTCTCCACATCGCCTTTCAAGTTTTAAATTTCCTTAAGAAAAACTGCGAGGGTACCGAAAGCTCTATTGTTGATGTCATCATTAGATGGATCTCATTTGAGTATTTTCATATATGAATAAGATTGTAAACGTATGAACTTCTTGTATTTCGATTGTATAACGCGCGCTTTTCAAGCGTCAGTCTCAATCGCAATATTTCTAGAAAACTCCGGTTAATTATTGTAAAGAAGACTCGCGTTCCTTTGAAACAGCACAACAGTAGCACGTTGTGACAACTGAGAAATAAAACAATTAAGAAAGGGGTGGGATTAGCAAACAGCCTTTGACGCACTGCTACAGCTGCGCTACAGTTCCCTTTAGCTTTCACGTGACGCGTAAGTAAATGCATCCAATTGCAGAGTACCTAATAGCGAGGCGGTGATAAAGTATACAAGACCGTTGCTTTCGAGAGAACTTGCTGGGCGTTACAAAAACAATGAGATGCGCATCGCTGAGTTATAGAAAAAACAGTGCTAGTGAGTGTAGGTAATCACGAAGCCGGAATAACCGAATGAACAAACTAATGGTCGAAAGCCTGATCGATGTAAATTGTAGATACAGTTGATTAAAGAGCAGAGACCGGAGTTTATTTTGGCGAGCGTTTTAAGCGAGGAGTGAGCGGGCGAGAGAAAACGACGTAGGTGCAGGCGGCGGCAGCCCCACCGCTTCGAGCAGCAAAGATAACGTATATGTTCTAAGATTGAGTTTCCGGGCGGCTTATCTCGCAGACAGTTTGCCGCTTCATCGGATCTACCTATGACTTTTCCCATAAGCAGCTTACTCCCCTTGCAGTAGCAGCGAAGCTGGCTCTATTTCGGAAATTTCTCGCGCGATTGCAATTGCGCGCACGCCAGCTAACGACCATCCTGTCGAGGATTGCGACGCGCGTATACGAGAGTCCTATCGAGCTCTACATGTCGTGCTATCGGAGGCGCGCGCATTTGCGAATCTGAAAGCTGGTGCCGCGCGTAGACGACGATTGTCATTTGGACTGGCTGCTCCGGCGAGCAACTGGCGGATAGAATGAATGAGCAGCGAGCAGCTCGCTGAGCCCTGCTAGGTCGACAATTGGTCGTAGAGAGGCTGACGGCTCTGGCGGACAATAAAGAAAGATGGAGAGCGGCAACGAAGAAGGAAAGGGAGAGGGAACAACGTTGTAAGAAAGCTCACAACTGCCCCCAGAGAAAAGAGCTTCTTACTGGCATTGCAGGTGCTACATTTACGGAACGATAAAACTCTTGACATCGACAACTACGGTGACGACGACGCGGACTCGCCGATAGAAAGCCAAGCCATCAGGGTCCAAAAGAGACAGAAGCAAGAAACAAATACTGGGCGCTTTAGTGAAAGAGAGAGAGAGAGAGAGAGAGAGACAAAGCTTGACGTGTCAACAACTGATGGCAAAGCAAAGCAACGAGAGGCAGATAAGCTCGCTCTGGCGACAATAAAAAGCGATACGGCAGCCGAGTTCAATGGGCCATATTACTTTGTCGATTTCAAGGAAAACATGATTAGCCGACTCCTAGTCTCTCACGTGGACTACTATGCCTGTACATCTTTTTAGAGGGTAACCACGGCGCGAGGCTTCACTAGCGACATCCTTGGTAGATCGATTGATAATCAAATAAATTACTCGCGCACGGGAGGTGATGATGCGAGATTGTCGCGCCCTAGAAAGGCATTCTTGGCCGTAGTTGGGTCTGATCTGACTCCTCAACCAAGTCCAATCAAGTTTGCCATGCTCATTGCACTTCTCTATGCGAATAAACTCCAATCGATCACGCTTTATTTCAATGAAGTATTGCCGTGTTCCATTCATAGTAGCCCGTTTATCTTTCATTCATCCGCCATTTCCATTCCCTCATATGTTTAGATCATATGTTAATAATATACAGGACTAGAGTGTCGTTGCTATTTAACATTGAATAAGGAAACGCTTGACTTATCTGAATCTTATATATCACAGGAGCTATTGTGGTAGGAAGATATTTTATTTACAATTTTCTTCAGTTAGTTTGCATAATGTTGGGCAAGTCTGGAAGTTTTGGCATAATCAGGTGCCGCAACACTCTGAAACTTTCTAACAATGAAAATTAATAAACTGGCCAAATTGGTTTGTAACAATAGACTATGTAAAAAATGCTTGACGCACTTTTGATGAATTGTAAGTCAATGCGTAGGTACGCGAAGTCGACAAGGCTACTTTCAATTAATTGTAAAAATATTTTAAAAGAACCTTAGTTCGTATGATGTAGAAAACTCGTAAGTTGCTCAAGAAAGCTTTCGCGAGTTGGGCATTTTGCGAGCGCTACATGCAGGGGAGGTAGCAAGTCCTAATCTAGGACACGAGTTAAGGGAACGGACACTGTGAAAGTGTACTCGGGATTATGCTGGAAAAGACGCCATTCTGTATATTACGATACAAACACTTTGTGTACATGTAAATAAGTGTCAGTTGAAAGTTACTTGAGAAAAGTATGGGGGGAGGGAGTTGCTTGTGAAAATTAAGCGAGTTTTGAAAGCTAGACGAGAGCTCGTCGCTGGTCTGACCTTGCAATTCCCATAGACTCGCGGGATATCAATTTGGCCGATAGCTGGAGAGAGAAAGAGAGAGAGAGAGAGAGAGAGAGAGAGAGAGCGAGAGAGAGAGAGAGAGAGAGAGAGATACTCGCTGGGAATTGGGGGCGACGACGAAAGCTACTCGAGAGCCTGGACAAGATTATCCTTGGCTTCGCGTTGCCAACCGTCCCGGAGGATCCACGCACCCAGATAAGCCCAGCCCAGAGGCTGACACGCGAAACGGCTACATAAAACAGCCCGTTTCTTTCTTCCTTTCCCACCTTCCTTGCCATTTTCAGCTCTGCTTTATTATTGATTTCATTCCTTATACATGCTTGCTCAAAAATCGATAGAATCTGCTATTTAAAATTCCTTAAAAATTCATATACTAGTTGCTATTCGCAGTAAATCATCAGAAATAAGCGCCTGAATACATATCTTTTATTTCAACCGGTATAGAAATTCATAAATAAACTATTTTGCAATCATTGATTGATATTAAAATGTATAACCACATACCCATCAATATTATATTTATAGAAAAATTAATTATAACAAAAGATGCATGTGCTGTGTTAATAGGCCAACTATAAACCGTCAATGTAGCAACTTCAATATAACATACTTTATAGATCAACTTATTGTTATAGTGCGTAATTTGCCATTTGTAAATACCAGAAATATCAATTTTCACTATTTTGACTATCAATATTTTCATTCTATTTTTATTTGTCTAAAACGCTGATCTCAAAAAACTTATCTCAAATGAGTTTGTAATCGAAATCCCTAGATAAAAATGTTAAAAAGCATAAGTTATGATTTGTATAAACCAAGCCATCCATAAGTGACTAAGTCTCATGTAATATTTTGAAGTTAAACTAACAAATTAAATGCCTAATGACCCTACCTAAAACTTTACAGACTTGTTTACAATAAATATATTTATATTATTCGAACATTTGAAACAGATTTGATTTCTTGTTTTTCATTTCATAACCAGACTATTTCAATAATCCTTCGTTAAGCAGCATAAATTTATATGAATTTCATGAATATTACGAGATGACACATTCATCTTTATTATAGAAATAATCATTTCAATTTAGTTAGATTGTAAAGGTACCGGTTTCGGTATTGATTAATTCTGACACTGGTTCAAAAAATCTTTGTGTGGCCGAGCGTAAAAAAAATTTGAATCGCTTTGTTCTAAAAGACATTTAATAAAACCACGGTTTTATTAAACATTTATTAAATACCAATGCTCATTGTTGAAAGGCTTTTTTTTTATTGTGGTTGTTAAGAACGCAAAAAAAAGAAGAAAATCTTGAGCCGTTCCCGAAAGATGACAATCCCTCATAAAAAGAAAAACGAAAGGTTAGGAAATATGTGCGCGCTGCAAAGCATTTGGGGACAACCCAACACCGACATCAGACCCGGAACTCGTTAGGAGCGTCTTTTGAAAGATGCGTGTGCAACACACTCGGGACATACGCGCGAAGAAGACGCGACTGTTCTCGAAGACCACTAATCTGTAATGCAAGAGCGGTAGTTTTAGGAAATATGTAGAGACTCGTCGTAGTTTCGCGAACGTTAGGATAAGAATTGATAAGTATATTGTAACTGCGAGCAAAAAAAAATATGACAATGAGACTGAGCGACGAATATAATTGTGCCGGTTCGTTCTTTCCTCTTTCGCAACTCTATTTTTAGGCCCATGGACGTGCACGAGCGCATTATAGCGTTATCGTGGCCGTGAGACCCACCTTTAGCTCCAAGGAGTTAAATCACGAGGGAGGTGATTCTCCCGTGCATTGCAGGTCACATGTAGGCGGAAAGGGATAGCACATGGCTAACCTGTGGACTGGTCGGGTGGCAAAGAGAGAGAAAGAAAGAGAGAAAAACGGCAGCATTAAGAAAAGGAAAGGAAATAAAAGAGAAAGAAAAGTAGAGAAGTGCGAGAGTACGTACTGCTTTGCTTAGGGTCCGAAGCGGCGTGGGGGGCCTACAAAAAAAAACCTGCGGCGGCGGCGCTCGTAAGACCCTCGGTTTCTTGCGCGTAAAGAAAAGAGACCCCAGTACTGTTTGGACAGACAGTGATCATCAAAAGGGAGTTCAGTTTTGGCCTTTTCTTTTTAGAGCGCCGCGACTAGAATATGTTTATATGACAGCATCTTCAAAATTTTCAATTTACTCCAAACCTTTTTAATGACAATTAATAATTAGAGTATAAGCGAAGTAATTTTTCTAACTGATACTCGGCCAATATCTAATTATTTCCAAACTGAAATATTATTGAAAATTTTTTACGATTGATATAGAATTTTTTATTAAATAGAAAAAACAATATAAATCAATATTGGTTACACATATCAGCATGTGGACATAAATTCATTTGTAAATGCTGCAGCTGAGCGTTAAAATAAAAGATTTACTTATCTATTTTTGAATCACTACTCTTCTTCAACTTTTAAAAATGAAAAACATCATCACGTTAGGTAAAACAATTTATAGATCTTTTAAAAAAATAGGAAAAGTAAACATAAAATATTGAAAAATGCATACGAAATAAAAAAAAAACGTTTCTTTTCGTAACTAATTGATGTATACTTAGTTAATGTTACCGTAGCGTTCTACTACTTATAAATAAAACTATCAGTATCATTGGTCGTTGGCTCAGATTATCAAAGCAATACTGCAGATAGCACTAAATTGCGCTTGCTACGTGAGTCCGCATGCTTTATGACGTTTAGACGAATCAACGCCCCGCTCTGCTATATACACACGCCGGCTAATCCAACAGATCTTGCCCATTGATCAATAACTGAGCCTTTAACTACGAAGCTATTAGCTCTACTCACTTGCTCGGCCAGCTCAGTTGGATTCTGCATTTGAACTATAGACATTGAACTATTACACGCTGATTTCCCGAAGGGTCTTTGTGATGATAAATGACAAACTAGTTTTTTCAAAAACTGATAAGTTGAGAAATATGAAAGTCATTTATACTAATGACTATCATCCGCTATCGTATGAATCAATATATAATAATAGTTTGTAGTGCACACTGACGAAGAAAAAAATATATGGATTTCGTTATTAGTACTGCTTGATGGGAGAAGCCAGTGCACAATAATGAAGCATATAATAGATGAAATCAAGTCTATTTCATTGTCAGCAGGTTGTAACTGTTTCGGCATGAAAAGCAAAAGCCGAAGCGAGGTTTCGACACGCTGTTCAAAAACGAGAAGTAAAACCGTCGATTCGGAGAACAATAGGCACGTTCAACGATTACAAACGAGCTTTTCAATCGGGATCGATTAAAAACGTCAACGAGCAAAAACCTTGTTGGTCCGAGAAAGCCTGCGTTGCATCGAGTCTCATCTGGCGCTCGTTGAAAATGAAACAAAACATAGCGTCTATATTAACGTGCATAGTAGTATCAAGCAAGATATTCAAACCGTTTTTTCGTTCCCTATTACCCATTATTATCGTTAAATCGATAGCATTTATTCAATTTTCAGTTCAACAGAAATATTGTAATAGAAATCTGAATCTACATTGTACGAAAACCTTTGATACGAAGTGTGAGGTCAATAATTAACAATATTTGCTTTTGAAAGACACTCGTCAATTCAACTGGTATGCCTTGGTTATTGTAAGGAAAATGTTAAATTTACTTTATTCGAGTAAGTTTTAACGCGAATTTCACTACATGCCTGAAGTCGATCACTTTCGATTAACTTATACTGCCTTCAAATCAAATTCAGCTTTACTCAATTTTTTCTCCTATATTAACTGAACACCAGTGTGAGTTGGAATAAATTCACCTTTGATTTTGTTCAAGTGGAGTTTCACTTGAGCGGTAGGTAAGAGTCAGATAATGGATAACTCGCATTCAACGATTATTCCAATTGAGTTTTAATTGAATCAAGCAAATGGATGATACCTAAAATAGGTATAGCTCAAATTTTCTAGTACAAACAATGCCGTTATAGAGACTATCGTTGACTTTCGCTTTATCCACGAATTTGTGGAATCGATCAATTTTCAAGTATACTCGTGAAACTTGGAATGCGAGGCCCTCCTTAAACTCTGCTGTACTCTTTCTTGTAGAGCAGCAAAACAGCACGAAAAAAGAGCAATAAAAAAAACCTTATAAGTATGCGAGACACGGACACACAAACTACAGCCAGCCTTTTATTATCATTGAAATTCTTTTCTTACAATTAATTATACTTGGTCTCTGACTAGCATACGTACAACTATTTTATTTACACATAAGATTTCGATAAAACCTACAAATTTGCTCACCTTAATTAGTCGCTCTCTTGGTTTTTCACGCCATGTGTATAAAATCTGCAATAAGAAATGAAATTTGACAAATTAGCTATAGTACACACTACTTATGATGATTCATTTATTCATAAATATTAAAGACTAAACTGCCAAAATTACCACTAAAATGCGTCGTTTCTTATTACAACGCAGAATATATTTTTTTTCTTTACTGTTCGAAAAAAGCCTTTTAACATATTTCTTTCATGTTGAGGGGTAGATTTAATCGGATTGCCACGAGCCATATATATCAAAGAAGAAGCAAAGGGAAGGTTTGCTTGCTTGGTGGCCTATTGCTGCTTTTTGTATACCGCACAGTAACTATATTTGGAAATCTCTTTTAAAATTTAACTTTTTTTACCAGTTCGACTTTACATTTTTGCTCTGACAAGTTATATAATCTTTCTTAAAGATTATGTGACTTAAATCAAGGGTTTCATTCTATTGTCTTGGCATCGCTTGCCAATAATTCAAAAAACTATGAGCATCGTGCGGCAGGTTGAAAAAGTAGACAGCAAGTCGATTTGGGTCCAAAAAACAGTAGGCAGTAGAAAAACACAATTCAAGAGCAGACAAGCTGAACTGGTGCATGATTCGTCAGAGCTCGGAAGAGTTTTGCAATTCTGCGATTCTAAACAGCAACTGTTAGTCGAACGAGATAGAGGTGCAAAAGCGAGCGAGTGAGCAAGAGAGAGAGAGAGAGAGAGAGAAAGAGAGGGAGAGAGAGAGAGAGAGAGAACAGGTAGATCCTTATCGTGCAATTATATTCAACAAGAAATGATTGTGATTGCATATAAGTACGACCGTCTCTCTCATTCTCTCACAATCCCTTGCTCGCTCTCTCTCTCTCTCTGCCTTTATTTCACAGACTACTATTCAAATTTCCAAACGAGACTGCAGAGCGTGAACGTCAAGAATGTAGCAGCAGCAGCAGAGCTTGAGAACGCGACGGGGGGGGGGGGGGGGGGGGGGGAGAGGAAAATTTTGCGCTCGACTTGAACGTGCATTCGCACGTTTCGTGCTTGCACGCCGTATATTTTTGGATTCTAACAAGCGCTAGCAACGTTACTCGAACGAGACGTAACTCTATAAACGCTTCCAACTGCAGCCTTCTTTCTTTGCTAGTAGTCCTAATGCGAGCTGCACGTGCTCAATATCTGCTTTATCACACAATAATATTCAATAACAATCATCTCGATAAATTACTTTAATTGGTAAAAAGGTAGTTTGCAAAACTGACTTTCTTAAATATGTAATTCCCATTTGAGCATATACATTTATTCAATTATGCGTAACATTTTGAGAATATGATTAATTCTCAATAACGTGTTAAAACATCAACGTAAATCAAAAGAAATATATTATACAGTTTAGTTGATAGAGCAATAAACCAGCCTATTGAACGATTTATTATCAACATTAAAAAAATGTATATACACAATAATGGAAAAAAACAGAGTTCGTGTGTTTATTAAACATCATTTTCTACAAGAAAAATCAGTCAAAGAAACTGAAGAAAAACTCATAAAATATTATTGAAACTCTGTTCCATTGCATGGCATAGTTTGCTGAATTTCGTTGGCTACTCAGGAAATTATAGATAAAGTTCATGATATTATAATCGCCGATCATCGATTGGATACACATGGAATATTTTACATGAATATTTGGGCACAAGAAAGCTGTGTGCAAGATGGGTACCGCGCTTGCTCACAGCTGATAACCAACGAGCTCGCGTGGTTGCGTTTGTACAATATTTGAGCATGTTTCAATTTAATCCAGAGGAGTTTTTACGGTGTCGCATATTACTGTTGATGAAATATGAATGAATTATTATAAACCAGAAACGAAAAAACGGCTAAAAATGTGGACTAAACCTGGTAAATCTACACTGAAAATAGCGAAGATGGTACGATCAGCCGGAAAAGTGATGGCACTATTTTTTAGGACTCAATTGGTGTAATATTACTCGATTGCCTACAGACGGGAAAAAAGTATCACAGGATACTTAATATTACGTATATTTTTAGATCGATTTAATGGTATACTGAAATTAAAAACGACCCCATTTGACGAAAAAAAAAGTTTATTTTCATCACGATAATGCACCGACTCACACGAGTTTCATTTCAACTGACAAATTATTTGATTAGCGCTACCAAATACTTTCTCATCCAACTTGTTCTCCATATATAGCCCTTTCGGATTATTTTTTATTTTCTAACATGAAAATTTGGCTTTCGAATAATAGATGTTCATCGGACGAAGAGGTTATGCTGCGACAAATGAACATTTTGAGGAATTTTATAAAAATAACTTTACAAAGAGGGCAAAAAAAACTTAAGTATCGCTATAATAAATGTATAGAGTTAAAAGGAAACTATGTTAAAAAGTAAATTATAAATATTAAAATAAATAGTGTTTTACACTTCAAAGTCACGAACTTATTGAACGACCCTACGTAATTGCAATTGTTGAAAGAAAGAGAAAATATATAAAAACAGATATGAGAATGTAATGTGACCTAGGATATGAATTGTCATTAAATTTGTAATGATGAATTTTTTAACATATTAATAGTAAATGAAAATCAGTCTGTTATGTATGTCGAGTTGAAAGTTATTAAATTTAGTGTTCATTATTTTAGCTTGATAACGAAAATTAATCAAATTCTTGAAACCTTGCGCATAATTCAATATCTGTCTGTGCTCAAACAAATTTACATAATTGAGAAATTGATTTCTGCAAACTACTTTTTTACCATTTAATTAGTTCAAGTAACCAGCGGTGAAATGCATGAATTGAAAGATAATAAATTACTCTTAACTTTTTAAAATACATCATTCATTTCAGTAAATTCTCATTCGATGGAAATTAGTGAAACGAGTACTATCATTGCTATCATCATGTTAATTTATTTGCAAATAAAAATTCTTCGATTAAATTATTTTTATTGTTTGTTTGAAAAAAGTTCGATTTATACTTCCAAGTTATACGAGTAGTTAATTTAAATAAATATACTATACAGTAAGAAAGAATTTTTTCTATAAACTATTAAAATGGTAATTACATTATAAAAACAGAAGACAAGTATTTCTTACATTAATTAATGTTAATCACAACTAAATCAAATATTTTCATTAATAACGACTCAATAAAAAAATTCGATGAATTATTTCATATTTTCCCACTGAATTTTTACGTCACAACAGCAAACCAATCGAATTTTAAAATCAACTTCAACTGAGCAATTACAATCAATAGAGACTTTCCAAATTCAACACCTAAATTAAAAACTTTTTTAAGATAGGATATTTGCAATATCCTCTTCTCCTTTTCTTTTCCTACAGTGCCATTGTAACAGCGATCATTGCACTTTCTTATATATTCATATCTAATATTATGAAACTTCGTTTAACTATCGCCACGAATATTACTTTTATCTTGTGCCCATTCAATTCATCAAATCACTGCTTGTTAAACAGTATGCTGTGCAGCTAGAAAAAGTTATGACAAGGGTTTAAAAGTCAGTGAAGTTGAGGTCATAGCCCTTACTGTAATATATAGTTACGGACATTTCTCCATTTTTATAGATTTCCTTATTCGTATTCAATATGAATTTTTTATTTATTGATAAGGATGAGGTGAGCAGGAAATAATCGTATGAGTTTTCTTAGTTTTTTATTATTTAGTTTACAATTATTAAACTCCCGAGAGCAAGAATGAGCGACTTGCGCGCTTGCTGGCTGGACCAACAGTGCTGGTTCTTTTCTGCTCTGCCTCGCTCGGCGGAATCCTTCCGCTAGAGGCGCTACAGGTTTTCGGCAGGCAACGTTAGGGAAACTAACGGAAGATAAGACCTGCCAGCAGTCACACATGTCGCTCAAATTTTTACAGCGCTATATATCTTATTTAATACCCTACTTATCTAATGGTTCATGCGTCGCGCATATGGTTGTCGCTTGGGTCGCAGCACGCTTGTCGAACAAAAGATTTTCGAAACCAACCGCGGAAACCTTCTACGCTCAGTCCGGACGCGAGTTTCTTCGTTTGCCCCTCCATTCGATCTTTCGCCCTCACTCTCGCTTATCCGCTCCCTTGTCTGCTTGCCTGCCGGTCTAGGGTGACATGTAATTACCTTCCCGTATTTACGCAACTTACGTAACGCTGATTGTTGCTCAATTCTTTAGCCTCCAGGAGATAACTCCTCAAAGCTGATGGGGCATCACGACCACGAGTACGCCTTCCAAGCGCTCGCGCACGTCCATGAGCAGGACAAGGAGCGGCAAAAAGACGAGGCACATACATTCAACATCCCGGTTCATTAATTGTAAACAACCGCGCACGAACTCGAGAACGGCTTACGACGCAGGGCTTCGAAGAACCTAAAAGGAATATGATGGGACACGTCTGCGTCACACGTGGCTCGCACTCGTTCATTAACGCTATCGTCACCGAGATCGCTCGAACTCCCGCCCCTCACAACCTTCACGCGCTGGTCAAATTTTATTACTTTTTCCCAAATTTTGTCGCTTACGCCTCTCGAATACGGTTTGAGGATCTTACTTTCGGCGTTTCTTACATTTATTTTGGAAAAAATCCTATCTATAAGTCTTGCTTAAGTAACTTATCAATGTGTATGAAAAATTCGAATTTAAATAAAAATACTGAAATTCACGAGATAGAAACCTGATTGATATCGATATTGTACTGTAATTGATCTTGTGCTGTATTTTATTATAACATTCTCTCGAGTGAAGTTGTTAAAATAAAATTTACACAATCTAGCGACGGTAAGAGTTGCTAAAAAGCAGCTCCATAACTCCATCACAACCAGGACACAGTTGTAAAAAATAATTAGTAAATTAGGTTGCGCTATATGGTCTTATCACGTGTGTATACATGTGTATTTTGATAGTAGCACGTCAGATAACGAAGGATGAATTAAAGCTGGTGTGTGAATAACGAATTGAGAAAAAAGGTAGCTCAGATTATAATTGGATACGCCGAGGCAATAGCTGATAAAAGGCTGATTAAGCAAAACAATGTACCCTGACCCCTACCTTCCCTCCATACCTCCATGCGCAGTAACGGCTTTAATATCAACAGTGATTATGGAATACGAAAAGAAAAAAGTTCAGTTCACGTGGAATGCGTTGCTACTGCTGGTGCTGCTATGAAAAGAATGAAATATCGCTACTTTCCGTCAGTGATAGTACATACAGAACATGTAACGCAGCTCTCTTTATAAACGACCTTGTTAAGGGAAATAATGCAATCACTTAAAATAGCGTAATCAAAGGGAAACGCAATTAAGAGCCGGGCGTTTGGAAATTAATGAAGAATAAAAATTAAAGGCCGGTTTCTGGTTAGCTAGCTACTTCCCTCCTGCAAGTTCCACAGAAGAGTAAGGAAATCCCCTTTCTCCTCCGCCGTTTATTTCTCTCTTTCGTGTTAATCTTCTT